AGCAAATACATGACACATCTGCAACTCACCTGTGCAACCCTGCAGCTTCTGAATGAAAGCTCGAGATACTGGAATGGGTCGTGGGAATTTCAAGAAGAAACAAGCAGGAAGGTCCACACTGTTCGCACTGGTGATTGAGGAGAAGGATGGTGTCCTGAAATATTGAGTTAGTAAAATAAAGATTAGCTGCAAAACACGATGCTGGCTTCTGTTTTGAGGGCTAGACACACATTTCACTGTTTGCTCAAATATAAGTAGGTTGTTTATGCATTCTTAAAAATAAAGGCACTCATGTACAGCATTAAACATCTCTGAAATGCATGTGTCTCAGCTTAAAGACAGCACAAAAGTCACTTTATAATGCTGTAACATCGAGCAGTCCCCTCCCCACTCTGACTTTAAAGGATAACAGAATATTGAATTTGCATCTAAACAAGGCCACTGAGAAAGGCCTGGCCGATACGTCCTTTACTTACCCTTTGCTGTCAACAGGATGAGACCCCATAATCAATGGTGCAATTGGAAGTTTGTACATTGCCATGGTTCCCTCAACTGTTACTGACACATTCATACCCAAAGCTCGAGGAACTGAAAGAGTAAGCAAGAAAAAAAAAGAACATAAGGTTTAAAAAAAACAAAAGTTTTATGAATTATATTGAATTTGTGGAAATATATAACTTCCCTAATAAAAAACAGTTTTCAGTGCTCGCTGCTAACACCTAAAGGGACTACAATCAAACCATACTACTGTTACAATACTGTGTGTTTTTTGTTGTTGCTGTTGCATAATTCTTAGAATATGTTTCAAACAGATTTACAAGTTTGAATTGTTCTGCAGAAAGCAAAGGAATTAATGATTTTGGACAATTTCACCCTCTCCTTTCTCCATTTTAATAGGTGTTTGGTTTTGTCAAATTCCACAACAGCCAGCAGGTTCAAGAACAGGGCCAGCTGAGCCAGCATTTACACATGTGCTTCCTAAACAGACTGCTGGAGTCTGGCTTTCCACTCTCCTCCAAGCAGGAGGAGTGCACCAGCTTTCACGGGTGACCTACCATTGTTCTCATGCAAAACAATGGGGGCTCCAGTGCCTTCTTCAAATAAATCATACGGCGAGACGTAATACTTGAGGTTCATCAGGAGACCTGTGCGAGAGAGCCTTATAAACAAGGTGACACAAGTTACCTGGCTATTATTAACTGCCTAACTGCAGAACATCTGCAGTGTAACACACTGGGCAGAGCTGCCAGAACACCTTAAATGGGATACTGAACAAAGATGCCTTTACAGACAAAACCTGCATCTTTTTTTTTCTTTTTAAAGATGTTAATCAAAGATACCTCCACTCCTGGGCGTGAGATAGCCAACACTGCCGTGAAGAATCTTGTCGAGGGGATTTGCATTGGTGGCTTGCCTGCAAGAGAGGCAGTCACAGGTCTGTAACAAGCCAGAGCCACAGCTGAAGCCAAAATTCAGGGGTTGTTGACAGTCTAAGATTCTAGCTCAACACACACACACACAGAGAGCTCAGCAAACACGGTGATTATCTACAGATTAGCTACATAAAACTATCTTAAGTCTCACATGGCAATGGATGAAACAGAAGCTACTTTATTTCCCCACGCATATATATATATATATATATATATATAAATTGAATTGTGCAGTTAAAAAGGTAAATTCCTGATAAACTCCAGGAAGCCCCGGGCAATTTTTCTATCACTCTGTATCATTCTCTGGCTTCCACAGGCCTTTTGAAACCTCAACACTGAACTTCTTAGCAATAAGAATGTGTCATGAAAATAGGGGATAATTCTCTGTGGTAAAAAACCACTTAATATGATATAGTATAAACAAGAGAAGACAAATTAACAAACACCAACAATACATGTTCTTACCAATACATCCCTGCCATTTTTGAGAGATCCAGCTCCAAGGACTGTAGAGCTAAGTACATTTTAGTTTTAAGTTTGCTGGAGAAAGAAAACAATACAAGAAAAAATAAACATTAAAAGGAACTGTGTGATGAAATCCAATTATAGAACTACTGGCTGATAAGCTACAATATTTAAAAGTTTTAACTTTTCATTCCACATTCCAATATCAGATTAAATCACCCCTACACAGCGCATACACACACACACATCATGTTGATGGAGTCAGGAATCTCACACATAAGGAACAAATAGAACTAAGAGCTTGTAGAACTGTTTAATTTTATATATGCAGACATAAAACAAATAAAGCTCGTATTTTAGACTTACTTGTCTCCTGGCAACTTATACAGGTTCACAAGCCCCCTTAGATGCTTAGAAAATTCATCGAAATTTTTCTCTCTAGAAGAGGGAGAAAAACAGTAACGTGAATTTATATTCACAGCAGATGTGAATGCTGCAAACAGAAACCTGTCTGAAAATACAGCTCTTGCTACTTACCTCAGATGTTGCACCAATTCTGGACAACTCTAGGAAGGGAAGAACAGAGAACTGTATCAGTGTCAAATGTTGTCATCTCAGTCTTTGTGCAGCACTGTCACTGCAAATATTAGGACAGTGACATTTCTAAGCACTAGTTTTTGATAAGAAGAAACATTTACAGCTATAAACCGCTACGGTTCTAGTTCTGCTCAACAACCTCCTCTGGGAGAAATTCAAACAATATCATATCCTACTAAATGAATGACTTGAAATAAAGTTTTAAAATAGTCAAGTCTTATGTTGAAAAGTTCTATTTTACACAAACATAACAAAAATGGTCTGATTTTCAGAAAAGTGGCTATGCCAACGTGAAATGCAAGGGCAAACACCCATATACGTGGAGGATGCAAGTACAGCTATTTTCTTTCAGGATGTTAGCTGTAAGCTTTTCAGTTTTAGCATTTTCCATTCACAGAGCTAAATCTTTTAAGACCAATTTCCTAAGCAACTTGCTGCTTCCTCAAGAAATGAAGTTCCCACAAACAAAAGGAATATATTTACAATTTTGCCAGTTAAAATGCTACTGAGAAGAAAATAGGGAGGAAAATGGTCCTTGTATGCATGCACTGCACTGATGATCAGATAAAATCACACGAACAAACTGCCCCAAGGAGGTTTTTACCTTCCACTGGAAGGAGCAGCAAAGCTGCCAGACCTAGATGAACATTCAGTGTAATCCATTTCTTCTGCTCATACAGCAGGGAACCAGAATGGCAGTTTCAAAGACAAAACAGTATCGCTCCCATGTTTTCAGTAATACATACCACAGGGTTTTCTCCATGGTGAGCCACCTTGACATCACACAGCAGCCCTGTAGGATCTAACTGGACTTCCACATAGAACATGTCTGAAGTGATGTAACATTCAGTGCCATTTGCACTAAGGTGAGATCCAAGGCTTACATACAAAACAAAACAAAAATTGCTATGAGATGCACACAAAAAACAATCGAACCAGCAGTGAGATTACGATGTGTACAGATGCACAAGAAATGCCTTTGCCATAAAATAAAGAAGACAACCTACCCATTCTGTCTGGCTATAGACTCTAAGCGATCTGTCATGGCAGGCAGAGAAGACACTAGATGGAGAAAGCAAAGAGCAAGGCTTAGTGAACTGGGCCAGCATTTCCCCAGGAACGAGCATCAGCAATGAGAGCAGGCTCACTCCCAGGGGTTCTCATACCTTTACACATGCACTTATACACATTATCAACACCCCAAATTCAGGTAGAACAACTTACAGAGGAAAAATAAACATTCTCAGAAATACAGAGAATGGATCTTCGTGCACAATCAAGTGGAATTCGAGCACGGGCGTTTACAATAAAAACAACAGGCAATCCTGAGCGGTACGTGATCGTAACAGGCAAGCACGCTCGCGTGGACGTCACTGCGCAGAGGCAGGTGCCAACAACAACGCGCAGCATTCCCACGGCTCCCGCTGCTCGGCAGCACGTACAGCGCGCGCACAGAACATACCAACCTTTTAAGGCCTTCTGCAAAGTCTCCAAACAGCTCACCAGGTGTTGGTGCCCCCCAGAGTTCATCACAACTCGCTTTTCCTTAGTCAGAAAGGAGAAAAATGACCTTTTGATGTAGCACTCACTGAGAGGGAATTACTGCAATTTTTGTTCAGTCAAGTGAGGTTTATTCAGGTAATTAAAGGCAGATTAGATTTCATCCCCAAATTACATCCACGTTTTGATTTTTACATGACAACAGTATCCATTTCGGAAGCAGGTAACAAAGCAGCCCTGGAACTGATTTTGCTCTTTAAGCAACTTGCTCATCTGGAAGAACAGACTGCAATACTGCAGTAACTTTTTAATAGGCGTAAGCTGAGAGTTATACAGGAAGAGAGAGAGAAATAACCAGATGAGCAAACTTTTAGCACCTCAGAAACCTTCCATGCAGCTCTCCCTGCCTTCTCTTCCTTCCTCCCTCCACCCGGAAATCTATGTCTCCAACACAAATTTGACTAAACCCACAGCGATCTCTGAACACCACTGAAAAGGGAGCAAAGTGCTTAACAAAATAAAACAAAATCTCGAAGGAGCAAGTGGCAGAACGCGCAAGGCTTCTCCCGGCAGCCCAAACGCCAGGTCTGACCCTCTTCCTGGGCTCCCTCTTCCCTGGGGCTGTGAGCAGAGCACAGGCTCTGCAGGCACACACACATCAGCCCCAAAACTGCGATCTCTCAATCACGGCAGCCCAGCAGGAAGCTGAGGCTTGGCCAAAAAGTAAAATACTTTGAAGAGGCCTGACAAACCACCAATAAAATCATTCCTGAACATGCTCCTGAAACCCTCCTGCTCAGATCCCAACAATCCTCACCATGACTTGACGGACTAGCTTCATGGTTTCTGTCCAAGGTCTGTTTTGGTTAAACTTTGCATGGAGTCTTTCTAAGAGGGAACTCATCTTATTCAGCTTCTCCGCCTCTATAAGACAAACCATAAAGGAATATTCAGAGAACTGCGTCACGTTTAAAGCTTTACCAATGGAGCAAGCGGGCAGTTGCAATGAAAACACACCAAGGACTGGTGTCGTTGTGCTGTTCGGAACCCACCAAGGCTCCCTACATTGCGATATCAATGGCTGGCTTTGCTCTGCCTTCAGGAGTGCCTTGCAGATTGGATTCTGGTCAACCCTTATGAAATGCTTGTCACGTCCCAAAGGTATCAGTTGGGGCTGCACAAACCAATTTTATTGTACTTTAGAAAGCTGAGGATTAGCGGGCATATTCTTCCCCAGTACATAACAGAAAACATGTACATAAAAAAAACAGTAGTTTCCAGGGCACTAAAATGTGGTATTTCTATTGCTATCCCATGACAGCTTCTCCAACAGGGTCATCCTCTGCCCAGCCCGACAGCCACGGCTGCCAAAACAAACCCGTGGCTGGCAACCCGGGGCGCGGGGCGAACCGGATGGGGGCGGAGGGAAGAAAAGCCCGGG